ACTGGTTTACTACGAGCGCCATTTCTGGGTTAGTCTCGGGACTTATTGATCCATGTGTTATATAAAATTATATATATATATAATTTTACATAAAAAATTTTCCATGCATGAATATGTATAAATATATATAAACATATACAAATATTCATAAACATACAAATATTTATTGTATAATCATATATGAAATATGTCCATATATATTTCATATGTATCCCTCTTTCTTTTATAAAATTACTTTTTAGTGCATAATAGATATAATAATAGTATTGTGAACACATTAAAAATAATTAAAAACGTCATTGTTATATACTATTTGTTTTAGAAAAAATAAAATTTGAAGAAAGGTAAAAAAATTACTTATATATAATTATATATAAAAGTATGTATAGTTTATATATAAAAGTATGTATATTTACGCATAATGTAGCAAATTTTTTTTATATTTTCCAAAACTTGTTTTTTTTTTAAACAAACAATGTGAAAATTATCCTTTTAATTATTTTTTATATTTTGACATTACTATTATTATTTCTATTATATTAATAAATAATTTTACAGAAAAAGGGTTGTATATAGACATATATGGACATATTTCATATATGATTATACATATTTATGAATATTTATGTATGTTTACACATATTTATGCATGAAAAATTTTATATGTGCAAAAGTTCATGGAATCACAGTCAGATGTTATTAGAATTAGTATAAAATTTATATCACTATAGAACAAATATTCATTCTTTACATATATTTGTTATGTAAGAATTTTGTTTGGATTTAACAATAAAGTCTGTAATAAATAATAATCACCACAACGATCACGATAACGCAGTGATAATATTTAACAACACAAAATGATTCACACAATAGAGTCTTAGTGATAAATAACACTTGAAATAACAATCGTAAATTCTTTCTACCTGTGGACCAAACGGAAACCACATCAAGGATTACGAAGATTCCAACTAGGCCAAAACAAAAATTCATTACTAAAGAAAGACGCGTGAGAGATACACACAAACATCGGATATTTAATGTCAAGGCAATCTAACGACAGAAACAAGCTGCTGTAAGGATTAATAATTGTAGAATCTGGCTCTCTCTCTCTCTCTCTCTCTCTCTCTCTCTGCCCCCCTCTCTCTCTATTTCATATCTCTCTTTTAATTGAACAAAGAATAAAATAAAATGGTAAGTAGTTATTGTTCGTCTTCAAACAACGTTTGATTGGTCAGTTCGGAATATTCGATGCAATTATTCGAGGCGGATAAACCAGTTAATGTATTCCGCAAAAATTGATGAGATAAGAAGGTATACTGACAAAACAGGAAAAAGATAAACCAGTCTGCTATTACGAACGAATATGCAAAAATATAAGAAATAAATATGTATATACAGGATATCCCGTAAGTTCTTGCCAAGTGCTTTTGTGTAGATAGAGCGAACTAAACTGAATGGAAAATATCCGCAGCATCGTTTGCCTACATTACTTTTGCCGACAATTCGTTTGCACACAAAAATTATTGTTTACAGTTCGATTATTGCCTACAAGCACTTTTGCGTACAAATATAAAATTAAAGTAAGAAAATATTTTATATTTTTAGGAAATTTGTCATGTGAACAGTGGGGGTGTCAGCGTAGACAGTGTGTCTGCTTGGAATATTTTTCCAAAAATATCTAACCCTAATCAACCTCCATTTTTTGGTGTGAGATGGCCTTCATTTCGCGTGTTGTGAGCTGCAGGCAATAATGTATGTAAGCAGTCGACCTATAGGCAATCGAACTGTAGGCAATAATAATATAGGCAAAAATAACTGTTTCAGAAATTTTTATTTGTGTGCAAAAATCCATGTAGACAATCGGATTGTAAGCAATAATTTTTGTGTGCAAACGAACTGTCGACAAAAGTGATGTAGGCAAACGATACTGTAAACAATCGATTTGTAGGCAAACGGGATTTTCCCCTAAAATTTATAAATTTCTAATTGTAATCAATTCTAAATAGCATTATTATTATTAAATGAATTTTCTGTAATATATTAAATAAAATATTTAAATAAAAGAAAGAGAAGACAAAGAAATATGTTGTGAAAAAAAAATATCACAATTTTCTGATAGAAATTTCCATTCCATTTGAATGCTGTTTTAATGCTGCGTTATATGAATAATGTAAATCATGATTTTTTTTATGTAATTCAAAACTGTGCATGTATGTGGAATAAAAATTTTCCATTATTTTGTTTAATGATGTACAAAATTTTATTAAGATTCTTTTACAATATGTAAACACAAGTATGTATGATCGAATTGTAATAAAATACATAAATACTATCATTGCAATTGTATAAACCTATGATACAATTCAATAGTTGATATTGTATTCAACCATTGCTTAGAACCATGTAATTTAATCTTCTGTGTTAACTAATAATCTTTATGCATGCACATAGAGGTAGTTAATATATTTTGAATACAGTTAGTATTGTATTTCTATTTCACAGTAAGAATAGTACAGATATGTGGTATTTATTACACATACATTTAATATTGCTATTATATCAATAATATGTATTTGTTTTATGTTTAATCGTAACAGTGATCTAATAGAAAATTATAAAAACTTCTGAAACAATCCTGATAACAATTTTATATGCATGAATATGTATAAATATGTATAAACGTACATAAAAACACATAAATATTCATAAACATGTATAATTATATATAAAATATACATGTTCATACATCACTTTTTCTTTGTAAAGAAATAATACTGACGTGAAAACATTAAAAATAATTAAAAAGTAATTTTTGCACTATTCGTTTTGAAGAAAATCTAGTTTGAAGAAATATAAAAAAAATTACTTATGTATAATTATATACAAAATTTTGCATAAGTATGTATTTTTACTTTGTTTCAAATTTGTTTTTTTTTTCTAAAACAAACAATGCAAAAATTATCCCTTTAATTATTTTTTATCTTTTCACATTACTATTACTATTTTTATTACACTAAAAAATAATTTCACAAAAGAAAAAAGGATGTATGAACATGTGTGGACATATTTCATATATAATTATACATTTATGAATATTTATAAGTGTTTATGTATGGTTATACATATTTGTACATATTTATATATATTATATACATATATTTATAAATATTTATATATATTTGTGCGTAAAACATTTTTACTTACACATCCCAAATGGATGTGTAAGTTTGAAAATCTTTGCTTTCCGCAGAAAATTTTGATTATTAATTTCGACAATTTATATATGTATTTATTATCAATAACAACGGCATATCTCGCGTTTTTGTTGTTACTAATTAAAATATGTGACAACAGAGTGCATTAATCCCGGGTAATAAGTATTAATCAAAGATAAAATTATTAAAAGTTTATCATGCGTCTAGTGTTCGTTAAGTAAATATCGACTTACGTCAAATTCAATTTTTATACGAACAAAATACATTTTTTCTTAGCATATAAATTTATAAACATGTTTTGATTTCGTTTCTTATTTTATCTAAACCTTAATAACTGTTAGTATTCTCTGCCATTATATCAGGATATAAATAAACGCATTATAAAATGAAATAATACAAAAGTTCTATAAAAATTTAACTTATGCAGTTTATTTATGATCCGTATATGTAAATGATAGCAGTCTTATATTAATTTATTGTTTTAAGATATGAGAAACGAAATTCTGTAGAATGAACGGTGTTATGATTGACAGTATTTTTTATCGTAAAATGCGCTTATGTAATATGACACGTTTAATAAACACAATTATTTTCAAAAAGAAACGCAGCAAGCTATTTATAATTCTGAAGAATTAAAATAATAATTAATACACAAACATAAAAGAGTGCCAATAAAACAAGAATATTAACAAAAAAAAACTTGTAAGTACAAGATACTAGAAAATCGTTCGCAATGTTGCGGAAAGTGATTTGGGTTCCAAAAAAAAAAAAACTATACATATAAATATAAGTCCGAAAATAAGTCGTTTCCGAGTTATAATCACGTTTATGTTAAAAAAAATGTAATTGATTTTTTTAATTATAATGCTAACTTATTTCATAGTATATTATATATATAACTACATTTTGAATTATTTTGCCGTTACTCAGGATGCACCACGTGGAAGTATAGTCCGCTTGATATCTCTCTAGTAAAATAAAAAAAATGTTTTAAACAAGAGAAATTAAAAAAGGAGGGATGCGAAACAGGATATGTCTCTGCATGATGTATCTTGGATAACGCCTTTATCCAAAATGAAATTATTTAAGTTAAAATACAATAAAATAAATTACGATTTTGTAATTATAAAAAATAAATTACAACTTTCTTAATATAAAAGAGTGGTTTATAATATAACTTGAAAACGACTTATTTCGATATCAATCTTTACAAAGCATTTTTCTTCCATCTTGGGTTCCGAATCACTTCTTGAAGTATTCGGGCGATTTCCGAACACGTGTATAAAATAAAGAATAACTTTAAATATGCATTATAATGCATGCATAGATAAACTCCGTTATTCGAATAATTGAAATGATCCATACGTTTCAAATTGTATCAGTTTTGTTTTTGAAGTACGATTAATTACTGGAGACATAATTATTCCTCGATAAATGTTGATTTTCAATTTAATGATTCTATTTACTTTTAATTGGCTACATTATATTTATGCTTTAATTATTAATATTGTATATGTTATTAATATTTAATAACATAAACATAATAATATACTTGACGCGTTTATATTTACATTCTAAATTTTTCTTGGTTACGTCGCATGTCAATTTTTCGAAGAAAAAGCGTAGCATTCAATTTACACTATTTGCAATACATACACTATTTGGTCTTTCAAATATAATAATGTGTAATAATATTATATAAATTATATTTGCAAATTAAATAATTTTACAATTTAAAAAAGTTGTTAATAAAATATGATTTATGTAAAATATATATATATATATAATATCGGTTATTATATTTATAAAAAAACCTATTATTTAATTTGTATGGCGCTATTACGATAAATACTCATCAGAATTGCATATTTTACTCTTTGATCTTCCAGCCAAAAATAAATGCTACTTGTCAGCATAATGCTTTCATAGTCAAATAGGAATCGGCCACAGTAATATTTATTCGACATCTGAATCTATAAAAATTGTAAATATGTAAAATGAGAACCTTAGAACAATTGATTTTGTCAAAAGGTTTGATCATAATAATAATTTAAAGAAATTGTATTTCAAAAATTAAAACCATTGCGTGGACTGGGAAATTGTTCATCTCCCGGCACTTCTAAATTGTTTCGTATAGTGCTATATCCAGCAATTTTAATACAGCAACACTTTTCCTAGTTATATATTACAAGTAGAATTAATTAAAAAGTTTTTCTATTATCATATTATTTTTTCTGTATGACTAAAATCTGAAAACTAAAAAAGTTTGATAATTTCAGTAAAAAAGTTTTATTTTTTTACATTTCTGACTTACGAAAAGAAGTTACATAACCGATATTTTTGATAAAAATTGCACACTTCCTAAAATTATTTAAAAAAGTCAGTTAAAAAAATTTTTTATTTTAGAAATTAGTAAATTTGGATTATTGAAACAAATAAGACATTTTTGTGCTTTGAACAAAAATGCCTTATATTAACGGAAGCTTTGAATTCTTTTCGGATTGAATACGATCTATAACTTCTATAATCTTGTTTTTGCTAATATTTATTATTTATATAGCATGAGTTTTTAAGTTATTACAAAAATTGCAATACAGTAAAAAATTTTCTGTACAATTTTTTCTGTTCACCAGTTTTACGTGATTAGGAGAAGTTAGATTGACTACAAATTGTACAATATGTAAGATTTATCTTTACGTGATATAAACAAAGCGAATATTTACCAGAATCTAATCTCCTTCGTTTTGATGGTGATTCTTCAGTCGAAAAATTCTGCGTCATGGTACTTTGCATTCCGCCGGACACTGGTACATCTTCTTCA